AATGCCTAATTTGGAAGTAAAGAAACAAATGTGAAGTGGGTAGATTAAATTTAGAAGACAATTCTGAAAAACTAAGAAATAAACCATCTTCGTACAGGTCTCTCATTGTTCTAATACCTTTCTCATACCAAATTCTATAGGCAGCATTATTAGATGCTGGAGAAAAAATGTGATTCTTTAGTAACGGCATTTTATTAGAGGGTGATACAAATTTAAAGTGGGACCTAAATTGTGACCAGATCCTGAGTGTTGAGAGCACTATAGGATTTGTAGTAACTGAGGATAATTTAATTGGTAATGATGAATAAATAATTGAAGCGGGCGAAAAAGATGCAGAAATCGACTGAATTTCAAGTTTACACCAAATCAGATCAGGTGAATTTAACCAATAAGTCAGTTTATGGATATGTGAGGACCAGTAATACATTGTAAAATTAGGTAGAGAAAGACCCCCGTTTGTGGTGAACTGTTGTAATAAAGAAAGTCTCATTCTGGGGGCCTTTCCGTTCCATAAAAAAGATGAGACCATTTGATCCAGGGACCTGAAGAACTGTTTGGGCAAGAACAGAGGGATATTTTGATATAAAAACAAAAGTCTAGGTAGCACATTCATTTTGATAATATTAATCCTACCAATCAATGAAAGAGGGAGAGAGTTCCATCTCTGTAAATCTGATGCAATTTGGGAAACTAGTGAGGCATAATTCTGAGAAAACATTGAGGGCAAAGTACGTGTAATATTAATTCCTAAGTACCTAAATCCCGAGGGACTGAGCCTAAAAGGGATATCAGAAGGCTTAAGCTTTAACGCTAATGAATTCACTGGATAGCATTCACTTTTAAGTGAGTTAATTTTATAGCCAGAATATGATCCAAATTTTTTTAGAATATTTAAAATTGGGGGAAGACTCCGTAAAGGGTCAGAGACATACAGGAGAAGGTCATCTGCATATAAGGACAATTTAAGCTCGACACCAGAGCGGACGATTCCATGAAAAGAAGAAAGGGATCTTAGAGCAACGGAAAGGGGTTCAATGGCTAACGCAAACAAGAGGGGAGAAAGAGGGCAACCCTGTCTAGTACCACGTCCCACCGTAAAATAATCAGATTGGACGGAATTACTGAGAATACATGCTTGAGGGGATGTATAAAGTAGCTTGATCCAAGACACAAACCTCTCTCCAAAACCAAACCCATTAAGAACAGCAAAGAGATATTCCCATTCCACTCGATCAAAAGCTTTCTCGGCATCAAGAGAAATTATCACTTCAGGAGATTTAGAGGAATGAGTTGAAAAAATTGTATTCAACAGTGTACGAGTATTAAAAAAAAACTGGCGACCTTTAATGAATCCATTCTGTTCTTGTGATATAATCCGAGGGAGAACTGTCTCAAGCCGAGTCGCGAGTACTTTAGACAAAATCTTAAAATCCACATTCAAAAGTGAAAGAGGTCTATAGGACTCGCAGGCAGTAGGATCCTTATCCTTCTTTAACAGGAGAGAAATTGAGGCCTGAGTCAAGGTGGGAGGCAACAAGCCCTGCCCAAATGACTCATTATAAACCTCAAGAAGAAGAGGGGCTATTTTATCTTTAAATTTTTTGAAAAATTCGGCAGAGAAACCATCTGAGCCAGGTGTTTTACCACTTTGCATATCCTTAATTGACGCAAATATTTCTTCTAATTTAATGGGAGCTTCAAGTTGGTCAGAAAGCAATTTGTCTATCCTAGGTATGTCAATATCCTGAAGAAAGGCACATAGCTCATTTGAGTCTGCTTGTAGTTCAGACTTATACAAATTGCAGTAGAATTTTTTAAAAGTATCATTAATAGAGACAGGATCTGAAACAAGATTGCCCGACCGATCGTTGATTTGTGATATTATGTGAGAGCCGGCTTTTCGTTTCAATTGATGTGCCAGAAGTCTACTTGGTTTTTCCCCATGTTCATAATAAGTGGCTCGAGATCGTATCAAGAGTCGCTCCGCATCAGATGTAGTTAAAAGATCAAGTTCCATCTGAAGATCCTGTCGCTGTTTCAGCAAATCATGTGACGGATTAACGGCATTTTGCCTATCAATATTCTGAATTTTTGTTGATATTTCTGATATCTTAGTGCGTAGATTTTTATTAATATTAGCTGAAAAAGAAATAATCTGACCCCGAAGATAAGCTTTTAATGTTTCCCATAGTAGTGAGGGAGAAATTGTATCGCTCTTATTGAACCTTAGAAAATCATCAATTGATGATAAGATGAATTTATTAAATGGCTCATCTGATAACAGGAGAGTATTAAATCTCCAACGAGGACTAGAATTGGGTTTGTTTATAAATTTATATCAATGCTTAGAGGAGAATGGTCTGAAATAACAATCGGATAGTATTCAGAAGACGTGACTCTCTGCATTAAAGAGCTATCAACAAAAAAATAATCTATACGGGAATAGGATTGGTGTATTTGAGAGTAAAAAGAATAGGTCCTTGTTAGTGGATTCCGTGTCCTCCATGGATCTACATATCCATTTTGGGACAAAAAATCCAAAATAGATTTAGACATATTAGACTGTGTATAGGACCGAGATGAGGAGCGATCTAATGATGGATTCATTACACAATTCAGGTCTCCAGCTAGAATTAACAAATGAGTATCAAGATATGGAAGTGTGCTAACTAGATTGTTTATAAAATCTGGTTTATCAAAGTTTGGTGCATAAATGTTTACTAATAAAACAGGAGTGTGGAACAAGGAGCCTGCAATTATAAGAAATCTGCCATTTATATCCTTCATTATTCTTGATGCTGTAAAATGAATATTCTTATTAAATATTATGGCAACTCCTCTAGCTTTTGAGTTGAAGCTCGAATGATAAATCTCCCCAATCCATGGATATTTGAGCCTGACTTGATTTGAATTTTGCAAATGTGTTTCCTGTAGGAATATTATGTCTGGGTTCAGGCGTTTCATATGAGAAAATATTTTAGACCGTTTCACTGGATTGTTCAGACCTTTAACATTCCAACTTAGAAATCTAACAGCAGGTGTTGAGGAAACTTTTAAATCACCAGACATGTGACTTGACAGGGGTCAAAAATATTGCCATCCCTCCCAATCTCCCCCCCCCCCTCCCCCAGAGAAGCAGAAGAAGAAGAAAGAAAAGAAAAGAAAAGAAAATAAATAAATAAAAAAAATAATAATAATAATAATAAAGCCCCCCCCTCCCCATAATCGCACTTAGCCCTTCCCCAAACGAAGGGGCTGTGCAGACTCCAACGGGAGTCATCAGAAAACTTAGCCTTACAGCCAAATGGCACCACACCGCAAAAACCCTAAAACACCTTCTTGTGTCAGGTGACTCCCACCGAACTAGCAAAATAAAAAGATTTAAAATATATAATAGGCACTAATCTGGGAGAACAAGAACTCTTACACTAATTATAATTCAAAACATTAAATCCTTAATTGTAAACAAAACACACAAATTATAATTCTAAACGTTAAATCCCTAATTGTAAGAAAAACACACAAATTATAATTCTAAACATTAAATCCCTAATTGTAAACAAAACACACTAATTATAATTCTAAACATTAAATCCTTAATTGTAAACAAAACA